GCACATGCTGTCTACACCGAATTACCAAAAAAGATGTTCTTTTTTCGTTTGGTTTCAATCCGGATGTGTTCGGTGTTTCAGAATGGTGTTACCGCTGCAGCGTGGGCCTCATGTTCGGTCGGCGCTACGTTCCCTTCGTTCAGAATGGCGCTCTCGCCCCAGCGCGGGCCAATTTTCTGGATCTCAGTCCTTTTTCATCGCTGGCGCCGCCCTCATTTCCCCTCCTCCGCCTTCCCCTGGTCCTCGTGCTCCTCCCACTCCTTCCACTCCAGATCCTGCTGCTGCTGCTGTTCGTCCTCGTCATCGTCCTTCATCATTCCTCATCCTCCTTTTCATCTTGCTCATCCTCCTGCTCACCCGCCACCTCCTCCTATGTACGCAGCTCCCCTTGTCCGATTGCGCATAGCACGACGGGGTCTTCTTGCTGGAGTTCCAGGTTGGCAGGCTTGAGCCTCCAGCTCCAGAGGCTGAAGGCCTTTGGGTTCGCCGACTTCGGAGCGGCGCACCTTCTGCCCATGAGTGAAAAGCATGTGTCCCCAGATAATCAGCGGGGGAAAAAACAAACAAACAAACAAAAACAACAACAAAAAACGTCCTCGCAAGGGATGGGAGGGAGGGATAGGACGTCAGACATGGCGCGAGCGAACCTCTCCTCCTCCCCCTCCTCCTCCTCCTCCTCCCCTCCTCCTCCTCCCCGCCTCCTCCTCCTCATCCTCGCTCCTCTCGCCTCCAACCTCCTCCTCCTCCTCCTCCACCTCCTCCTCCACCTCCTCCTCCTCCACCTCCTCCTCCTCCTCCTCCTCCTCCTCCTCCTCCTCCTCCTCCTCCTCCTCCCCTCCTTCCTCCTCCTCCTCCTCCTCCTCCACCTCCTCCTCCTCCTCCTCCTCCTCCTCCTCCTCCACCTCCTCCTCCTCCTCCTCCTCCTCCTCCTCCTCCTCCTCCTCCTCCTCCTCCTACCTCCTCCTCCTCCTCCTCTCCTCCTCCTCCTCCTCCTCCTCCTCCTCCTCCTCCTCCTCCTCCTCCTCCTCCTCCTCCTCCTCCTCCTCCTCCTCCACCTCCTCCTCCTCCTCCGTCCCCCTCCCCCTCCTTCGCCCTACCCCTCCCCCTTCTCCCCTCCAACTCCATCCTCAACTCCCCTCGCTCAATCACACCCTCCTCCCTCCTCCTCCTCCCCCTCCTCGCTTGACTCCCCTCGCCCATCGGCCCCGCAGGCGCACACCATGGGGTCCTTGGCTCACGGGCGCGTGGCTCCTCCTCCCCCTCCTCGCTTGACTCCCCTCGCCCATCGGCCCCGCAGGCGCACACCATGGGGTCCTTGGCTCACGGGCGCGTGGCTCCTGGGCGCGTGGGCGCCAGGTTTCGGTCGGGCACGTTCCCCCTGCAGGCGGATCCTGGACGCCAAGTGAAGAGTGCTCCCAAAAAGATGCACAAACACGGCCAAAAAACACGCCCAATAAAAAACCGCCCCCATACGAGTTTTGGACTATGTCTGGACATGCCTCCTGTAAGAGGGACATGCCCGACTCGACGCCAGGTCCACGGATCGGGGAAGCCCCACCCTTTGGACGCCCGAAAAATGGGCACGGAAAGAATGGGTACAATGCCCAACAACAATTGTTGTCCCAAACCAACGGCGGCCGCTGTTGGGTGGGTGGCCTTCTGTCTCGAATGGGCACAGGCCGCGGCGGCGTGGACAGCGAATCCTGTCCAACATGAACAGGAACTGCCGTTGGGCATCGTACCCATTCTTTCCGTACCCACTTAGGGCGCCCAGACCCCCCCCCGAAACAGGAGGCCAGGGCCGCCGGAGCTGGCGGGGGCGCCCGCGGGCTCTGTGCAGGTAAAACCGCCCGCAGCGTGGCCGGTCCGCACGCCGGCGTCCATGCTTGCGTTTTTCATCGGTCCTCCGCCTCTCCATCCCCATCTCCCCCCCCCCCACCCCTTCCACTTAGACCTGCTCCTCCCCCTTCTGACCCCATCCTCAACCCTACTATCTGTCACTCCTGAACCCTCCTCCTCCTCCTCCTCCTCCTCCTCTTCCTCCTAATCCTCCTAATCCTCCTCCTCCTCCTCCTCGCCACCCCTGGCTACGCCACCTTCAGTCGCCTGCGCCTGTCAGAAGCAAGAAAGGGCTACGGAGTTTACAAACGATCTCCGAAGGCGAGCACTCATGGCCCCCCGCTTGTGCGCACCTGCGCTCCGCGCTCCTTCCTGGGAGTTTGTCCTGGCGGGCATCAGCTCTGAACGGAGGCGTGTGGTGCCTACTGGTGACTCCGCGGCCAACCCCCTCCTCCTCCTCATGCAAGGTGCGCGCGGAGGGGAGGACGAGGGCGCTTGGAGGAGGGAGGGAGGAGCGAGGGAGGAGGGGAGGGGAAAGAGGAAGAGGGAGGAGGGAGGAAATCGGAGGAAAGAGGGCAGGAGGAAGGAAGGGAAGGGTTGGAGGGGTAGGAGGGACAAGATCCTGGATCGCGCGCAGGTCCGTCAGCTTGAAGACATGCTTCCCGATCTGGGCCACTTCCTCGACCTCCTCGATCTTCGCGCCCTTGTCGAAAGTGATCTCGTAGCGGTGGTTGCACGTGTTGAACTGCTTGTTGGCGACGCGCAGGCTGCCCCCCGAGAAGGTGAAGCACTTGCCCTGTTCATCCTCTTCCCCCTCCTTCTCCTCTTCACTCCACCTCCTCCTCCTCCTCTTTCTTCACCTCCTCCGTCTCCTCCTGATCAACATCAGCAGCAGCAGCAGCAGCATCGTCATCGGCTTCATCATCATCGTCATCATCATCACCATCATCATCATCATCATCCTCATCATCATCAGCATCTGAATCATCATCCTCAGCATCATCATGATCATCATCATCCTGATCATCATCATCACCACCATCATCATCATTCGCAGCATTAGCATCAGCATCACAATCATCATAATCACCATCAGCATCATCATCATCATCGTCATCATCAGTATCAGCCGCATCATCATCAGCAGCAGCATCAGCATCATCATCAGCAGCATCATCACCATCATCATCAGCAGCATCATCATCGTCCTCAGCATCAGCATCAGCAACAGCAGCATCATCAGCATCACGATCACCATGAACAAACCACATCGAAATCAGCAGCAGATGCATCATCATCATCGTCAGAATCGTCATCAACATCAGCATCGTCATCGACAATACCATCAGCAGCATCAGCATCAGCATCATCAGCGACGGCAGCATCATCATTAACTGTCAACAGTATAATCGCCCGATGAGCCAGCAGCATCGGCATCGTCATCCTCGTCAGCATCGTCATCATCGCCATCAACATCACTACCATCATCCGCAGCAGCAGCAGAATCGGCGCCGTTAGCATCCCCATCACGAGCGGCATCAGTCCATCATCACCAACATGACCGTCATCAGCATCATCAGCACCATCAGACTCGGAATCGTCATCAACAGCAGCACCAGCATCATCATCGACATCATCATCAGCATCAGCAGCATACTCAGAATCATCACCATCATCAGCATCATCATCGGCCCCCTCATCATCAGCAGAATCAGCAGCATCAGCATCAGCTTCATCTGCATCATCAGCATCAACATCATCAGCACCATCATCGTCATCAGCATCATCATCAGCCGCAACATCGTCATCGCATCACATTCGGCGTCGTCACCGTCGCCGTCGTCGTGGTTGTCATAATCAGCATCGGTATACCCATCGTCCTGATCATCAGCGCCGTCAGTATCATCCCCGTCATCAGTGCCCTCATCTGTGTCAGCATCGTCATCATCATCAACATCAGCAGCAGCAGCAGCATCATCAGCATCACCATCATCATGGACAAACCACATCGAAATCAGCAGCAGCTGCACCATGATGATCGTCATAGTCTGCATCGTCATCAGCATGACCATCAGCAGCATCAGCATCAGCATCATCAGCGACGGCATCGTCATCATTAAATATCAACAGCATAATCGTCAGATGTGCCAGCAGCATCGGCATCGTCATCCTCGTCAGCATCGTCGCCATCACCATCAACATCACCACGCTCGCCCGCAGCAGCAGCAGCAGCATCGGCGCCGTTAGCATCCTCATCACGAGCAGCATCAGTCCACCATCACCACCATGGCCGTAATCAGCATCATCAGCATAATCAGACTCGACGTCGTCACCATCAGCAGCACCAGCATCCCCATCATCATCATCATCATCATCATCATCATCATCATCATCATCATCATCATCCTCATCAACAACAACATCAGCATCAGCATCAGCATCATAAGCATCCACGCCCTCCACACTATCAGCAATATCATCATCAACCGCATCAGCATCATCATGTACCTGCGTCACCATCGTCAACGGCAGTCGTATCACAATCGTCGTCGTCGGCGTCATCATGCATCAACATCATCGTCAGCGACGTCAACCTCGTTATCATCATATGCGGCCTCATCATGAGCAGCAGCACCTGAATCGCCCGCATCGAAAGCAGAAAAAAACAACATCCGCATCACCGCCACCAGCGTCATCATTAGCAGCCACATACCCATCGCCGCCAGCATAATCATCATCACCATCATCATCATCAGCAGCATCATCAGCAACATAATCATGATCAGCAGCATCAACATCAGCAACAGCAGGATCGTCCGCATCATATTGAGCATCCTACGCAGCGTCGTCATCATCGTCATCATCAATCATCACCAATGAACACCTCACAATCTGCTCCACCGGCCCCCCCCTTCTTATCCTGCCCATTGCCTTGTCCAACTTGCTGTGGAACTGGTCGACGGCGTCGTTGAAGAAACTCGCGCGGATCTCGCCCCCCTCCGCGTCGAGCAGTTCCACGTGGAACACCTCTCCCGCGCCATGACCACCCTCCTCCCCCACCTCCCCCTCCTCCTCCTCCTCCTCCTCCTCCTCCTCCTCATCCTCATCCTCATCCTCATCCTCTTCCTCCGCCGCCGCAGCCGTCTCATCCGCCTCCGCTTCTTCCTGCTCCCCCACCTCCGCACCCCCAAGGTCCCGAGGACCCTGGGGCTTGGTTTAGAAAGCAGACCGAGGCTTGATCCGCACAGGCCCGAACAACTTGTTCGTCCAGGATGTCCCTGGATGACCGGCCGTGGTTTCCCGCCCCTGGCTGGGCGCCCGTCCGACTGGCCTGATGGGGCCTGATGCCTCCACCATCGCCTATATGTGCGGCCCTGTTTCTCAGCGGGCTTGCAGCCTCCTGGCCCGCTGCGGCGACTCGATAGGCGCGTCAGGCAGAACGGAGAAAGGCAGGGAGGACGTGCCTGTCCAGGCACGCTGCTGCATTGGCCAAGCTCGCTCTCCAGGCTAATGGCCACGAGCTGCCCATGTTCGCACTCGCATGTAGTGACTGTAGTGATCGCCGTACATGCATAGAGCGCACGCTCAAGGGCCTCCGTACGAGATGTCCACGAGATGCGTGTTCGGCGTTTTCGCTTGGATCGTGGAATCTGCTGCGTGCGTGACGGCACCCCAAGACTTCAAAGACGAGCCACGTGGAGTTTGGTGCCCAAGTTCCAATTTCAAGAGTGGTCCAAGGATGCCATCCCAGTCAAGCGCTGAAGTCGCAATAAGCGACGTGAAGCCAGTCTTGAACAAGGCGGTCGTCTGCCACCTCCTTCTGCCCTTCTCCACCACCCCACATCTTGATCCTCCTCCTCTTCCTCCTCCCCATCATCATCCTCCTCCACCTCCGCATCATCAGCATCATGATCATCAACAACAACAACAACATCATCATCATCATCATCATCATCATCATCATCAGCAGCATCAGCATCAGCATCATCATCATCAGCAGCATCATCAGCAGCATCATCGTCATCATCATCAGCATCAGCGTCGTCGTCAACGTCGTCACCATCAACATCATAAGCATCACCAGCAGCAGCATCATCACCAGCCTCACCATCATCAGCATCATCCTCAGCATCAGTTATCATCAACATCATCAGCATCCGCAGCAGCAACACCATCCGCATCATCATCACCATCAGCGTCAGCATCAGCATCAGCATCAGCATCATGATCATCAGCAGTATCAGCATCATCATCATCATCATCATCATGATCATCATCATCATAATCATCATCACCATCATCAGCACCATCAGCAGCATCAGCATCGTCGTCATCATCGGCAGCATCAGCAGCATCATCCTCATCATCAGCATCAGCAACATCATCCTCATCATCCTCAGCCTCATCCTCATCATCATCACCATCACCATCACCATCACCATCACCATCCTCATCATCCTCATCCTCATCATCATCATCACCACCATCATCATCATCATCATCAGCATCATCATCTTCATCATCATCATCATCATCAGCATCGTCATCATCATCATCATCATCATCATCATCATCATCATCATCATCATCATCATCATCATCATCATCATCATCCCCGTCCTCGTCTTTGTCATCCTTCACCCCCCCCGGGCAGATCGCCCCCCCCCATCTCCCCCCTCGAACCCGTCTCCAGACGCAGATTGACCAGACTCTCGAAACGGAGCCAGTCGTGGCGACGAGAACGGCCAGAGTCCTCGGCGATCGATCCTCGATCCCTTCTCCTCCTTCCCCTCCTCCTCCTGCCCCTCCTCCTTCACCTCCTCCTGCTCATCCCTCCTTCTCCTCTCCTCCTCCTCCCTCCTCTCCTCCTCCCCTCCTCCTCATCATCATCATTCATCATCATCATCATCATCAATCATCATCATCATCATCATCATCATCCCATCATCATCCTCCTACCTCCTCCTCCTCCTCCTCCTCCTCCTCCTCCTCCTCCCTCCTCCTCCTCCTCTCCTCTCTCCCTCCTCCTCCTCCTCCTCCTCCTCCTCCCCCCCCTCCTCCCCCTCCTCCTCCTCCGCCTCCTCCTCCTCCTCCTCCTCCTTCTCCCCCTTCTCCTCCACGTGGAGCACCTTCCCCTCGCCGTTGCCCTTGCGGAAGGTGCGGATCTGAGCCTTTGACGTGACCCGGGCGCGGATCGTCCACTTGCTGTTGTAGGTCGAAAGCTCGCTGATCGGAAAGAACGCCCCCTGCAAGAAGAATGCAGAAGAAACTAATAACAATACCACTGAAAAACAAAACCTGGGACACAAAAAAACGAATACCGATCATGACGTTAGTAATACCTATGACTAGCGACAAGTTGCTAGAACGCTGAGACTTAATGACAAGTGCTACTGTTATTGGCAAAAGCGCGGTATGGAGGCGCGCTGCGTCATCGAATGCCACCCGTTCTCGCAGGCACGGCGTGGCCAGGGAGGGACCGAATGTGTAGGCTGCACGGTGCAGCACTCAGATAGATATGTAAGCGAGACAGCGGCACGGGAGGGACAAGAAGCTGAACGTTCTCAAACATGCGTGGGCCTCCTGGGGCGCTCTCGTCGCCGCTGCTGGATCCGCCCCGACACTTTGGCAAGCTTGCGCCCCTGCGGCGGGTGCGGGAAAGAAAAAGAAGAGACGAACTAACACGCTGGCTGCTGGGAGGGAGGGAGAGGATGAGGAGGAGGAGGAGGAGGAGGACGAGGAGGAGGAGTACGAGGAGAAGGAGGAGGAGGCGGAGGACGGGGAAGAGGAGGAGGACGTGGAGGAGGAGGAGGAGGAGGACGCACAATTGAGTAGTAAAGGAATCAGCGCACTGCGCCGGGGCCGCGTACGGCAGACCACGGGCCACGGACCACTGGCAGGCACGGAGCTCAGGGAAAACAAAAAGAGAGAGAAGAGAGGAGAAACTGTACGAAGAGAGAGGGTGAAATGTTAGAAAAGAAAAAAAACCATATAGCACGTTATACGCCATGCTATCACGTGCTATAGATACCGGCGTGCATATATGCGTGTGTGTGCGTGCGAATATATATATATATATATATATATACACATATATACATACATATATATATATACATATATCTATATATATCTATATTGATATATATATATATACAAGTGGCACGTGTGTGCCCAGGCTCATACAACAAGCTGAAGGGGCGTTTGAAGCAGGAGTGACATGCAACAGCGAAGTCGCACTCGAGCGCAAGTGGGGTTGCCACACCTTGCGATGTGTGTACCAGGGCCCCCCAGGAAGCCTCAGGAGGCCCGACTTGGATACCAGAAGAGGCTCCAGGAGGCCCCAGGATTGTGAGTGTTGTGTGTGTGTGATGTGTGCTTTGTGTGGTGCGTGCTTTTTGTGTGTTGTCGGTGTTGTGTGTGTGTGTATGTTATGTTTGTCTAGCGTGTGATGTGTTGGGCGTGATTTGTGTCTCTGTGTGTGCATGTAGTTCTGAAGCCCCAGGAGGCCCCAGGAGGCCCCAGGCGGCCTCAGCAGGCCCAGGAGAACTCCAGGAGGCTCCGAGGCGGGGTCTGGGGTACCAGAAGGTCCAGAAAGCCCCAGGAGGCCCCAGGAGGTTCCAGGAGGCCCCCAGGAGGCTCCGAGGAGGGGTCTGGGGCTCGATTTTGGGAGGATGTCTCAGGCGAAACCGCCATTCTCTGAGAATCGGGGTCAAAATTATTGAAATTACCATGTGTTTTTGAAGGTTTTATGTTAAAATGTTGAAATTCCTATGTGTTTTTGGACCTCTCCTTCACGATCTGCGTGAGGGGTGCCACCGATTTTCAGAATTTCGAGGATGTCCCGAGCGAAACGGCCGGGAAAATCGAAGACGCACGCACGCACGGACGCACGGACGCATTAATCCCCTCTGAGCTCTACTCCCTCGGAGAGGTGCGTATGAGAATATATATACATATATATATATATATATATATATATATATACATATTCCCCAAATCAGAGCTTGCCTTTGTGGGGGTCCTAGCGGATTCATATGGTTTGGTTAGGTTTGCCGCCGATTTTCGCCGCACGCCCGGGTGCCCGGGTGCCCGGGGGTGCCCGGGTGTCCGGGTGCCCGGGTGCCCGGGGGTGCCCGGGGGTGCCCGGGTGCCCGGGGGTGCCCTATAGCCCTATAGCCATGTAGCCCTATAGGCCTATAGCCCAATAGCCCTATAGCCCTATAGCCCATATAGCCATATAGCCCAATAGCCCATATAGCGCCCAAGAGCCCATATAGCCTTGTAGCCCTACAGCCATAAAAAGACTATGATTGGGGTTTTTCTCCGGTATCATACATATATATATACATACATACATACATACATACATACATACATACATACATACATATATATGTGTGTACGTACTAGAACAATCGCGGGCACTTCGCGCGCGCTCAAGTTCTAGCTAGGCTTGATCGGACAACTCATGAAACATCATTTTGGTCGCTTCTTGCGTCCAGGGACTCCCTTGGAGGCCCTTCGCAAGCCTCGGAATCGTATAGAAGGGGAAGTGCGGAAACGCAGAAATCATTAATTTCCTTTAGGTAATCAACGATTTGGGGCCCTCAGAGGCTGCCTTTTTGGGGGGAGGTGAGGGGATCTGAATTGTGGTCGGTTGTGAAAGAGTAGACTGGGAGCAAACTTGAAAAAAAGGAATTGTAGGATTTCCATGTGTTTACAATTCCTCGGCGCTGTTCGGCGCTGTTTTTTGTTTGTGCCTCGCGGGTTTTGCTAGCCGGGGCCCTCAGGGGTGTGGGATCTTCTGGACCCCCTGGGGATTCTGGAGGCCTCCTAGAGGCCTGGAGAGCTGTCGGAAGGGTGTCTCGGGCTGCGCGGGAGCGTGTTGGGCCGTTCTTTACGTTCTGGGGGCTCCTTGGGGTCGTCTTGGGCTGCGCTTGGGCGTCTTGGGGGCCCCCCGGGAAGCCGGGAGGCGCGGCCGGATGTCAGGGGATGTGTGGGATCTCCGAGTCGGTGTCCCACTGTGAACAAAAAAAATCTGGGAATTCTCATTTTTCTCAAAAATCCTCGATCTTCAGGGGTTGGAAGCGGGAAAACGTGAAAGGCGAAAAACATTAGAAAAACCATGAGAAATCAACGATTTGACCCTCTTTGGGCTCTCGGGACGGCTCTCGCAGCTCTCTTGGGCTGTTCTTGGAGCCTCGTCGACGTCTTGTTGGGGCCTCTCAGGGATCGGGGGTGTGTTGGGGGCCTCTGGGGAGTCCTGGAGACCTCTCGGAGGTCTCAGGAAGCCTCCTGCTCCCGCTCTTGGGCCCATTTTGGGCCTGTTCTGGGGTGGTCTGGTGCTGTCCTGGGTGCCTCTTCGGCAGTCTTGGAGCCTTCTTGGCTCGTCTTGGGCCCGTCCTGAGGGTCTCTTGGGTGGTCTTGGGGCGGTCTTGGGAGCCTCTTCGGCGCTCTTGGACAATGAAAAATTCGAAAACGCGAGAAGCCAAAGGCATTTAAATCATGAAAATCAACGATGTGGGCCTCTTCGGGGTGTCCCAGAACGCCTCTCGGGGTGCCTCTTGGGGCCTTTTTTTCTGGTCTTATGGGGGCCTCTTTGGGCTTCCGGGCCCCATCTTGGAGCCTCTTGGGGTCTCCTCGGGGTCTCTTGGGCCAAAAGGCCCGAATTTCCGGGTCCTCGTCCCCGTCTTGGGCGCCGCCTTGGGGTGTTCTTGGACGGTTTGGGCGCCTCGTGGGCCGTCTTGGCCCCCTCGTGGGCCGTCTTGGGGCCCTCTTGGGGGCATCCTCGACCGGCTTGGGTGCCTCTTGGGCCGTCTTGGACGCAGTGGACGCCCAAAGGCAAACACGCCAAAAATATCAGTTTCCCCATAGGAAATCGACGATGTTTGCTTATTGGGCCTCTCTCGGCGTCTTCGGGGCCTTTGGGGGCCTTCTTGGCGTCATGGGAGTCGTCTTGAAAGGCGTCTGGAGCCATCGCTGCGGCCTCCTGGGGCCTCGCTGCAGCCTCTTGGGACCCTGTTGGCCCCGGGTCGCCGAAACCCCGTAAAAAAAACAAAAAGAAAACGACGCCCTGGCCCCACATTTGTGGTCGTGGTCCCGGCCCCCGGCCCCCGGACCCGGTCCCCCGTGATATGTGTATGTGTATATAGATACGTGTGTATATATATATATGTATATATATATATGTATGTATACATATATACATATATACATATATACATATATATAGACATACATACATACATACATACATACATACATACATACATACATACATACATACATACATACACACACACACATACATACATACATACATACATACATTACATACATACATACATACATACATACATACATACATACATACACCACATGTATATATTATATATATATATATATATATATATATATATATGGTCGAGGGTTTGGGCCCCCCCCAATCCCGGCATCGCCCCCCCCCGCTGGCGCGATGCCCCCCCCCCTGTGGGAGTGGTGTGGGGTCCCCCCTGTGGGTGTGCGGTGGTTAGGGGTCCGCCTCAGCCAAGAGTCGGCGTCGCTGGCGCCGCCGCCGCCGTCGTGTCGTCGTCGTCGTCGTCGTCGTCGTCGTCGTCGTCGTCGTCGTCGTCGTCGTCGTCGTCGTCTCGTCGTCGTCGTCGTCGTCGGAGGAGGAGGAGGAGGAGGGGGGAATGGGGAGAGGAGGAGGGGGGAAGGGGGAAGAGAGGAGAGGAGAAGGAGGGAGGGATGGAGACGCGGATGGGGGGAGGAGGAAAAGGAACATCGTCGTCGACGGTGTCTTCACCGTCGTCGCCTCCTTCTGGGTGTGGTGTTGTGTCCGGTGCTTCAGGGAGCTGGAGCGGACGTGTCTTCGTCGTCGTCGTCGTCCTCCTCCTCCCACTCCTCTCCTCCTTCTCCTCCTTCCTCCTCCTCCTCCTCCTCCCCCCCCCATCCCATCCGGGGAGGGGGCGGGGGGGGGCCCGAGGACCCTGGGACCCATCCCATCTGGGGGGAGGGAAGGGGGGGCCCGTGGGCCTGGAGCCCGCGATCATATATGCTACCGTGCCTATGGCACGAAGTGGAGTGCCCCAAGGCTCACAGTTGCGCTGCTGCTGCAGCCAGGATGGTACTTTCGTAAGGGCCTGGACCACAAATTTGCCGGGCGCGCTTGGGCCCGTCCGGGGTGTTCCCCGTGAATTCTGGGGTGTTTCCTGCTCACCCTCTGGACGCTATGCGCATCCAAAACGATCTCTTGAACCCTCCAATCTCCCTCCAGTGTGTCCAAGCGGGCTCGGATTCGCCGAAAGATCGGTCGAAGACGCGGAAGATCGCCTCCAGTCGGCCGAAAAGGCGCTGAAGACGTCCCAGGAGGCCTCCGAGAGGCCCCCCACGAGAGCTCAAAGAAGCAAGCACAATAATGTCCCATAAATGATTGACAGGTTTGGGCGTTCTTGCCTTTTCGGCTCCCTGGCGCTTCAAGACGGCTTACGAGGCACCCAAGATCGCCCCAAGACAGCCCAAGAGGCCTCCAAGATGGCCCCGAGAGGGCCCAAGAGGACTCCAAGACGGCCCAAGGGCTCCCAAGACGGCTCCAAGAGAGGGCCCAAGCGGGGGACCCGAACGGACATTTCGAGGCATCGGCCCCGAGAGGCCCCCAGGAGGCCCCAAGATGCCCCTAAGAGGCACCTCCGATGCCCCACGAGGCCCCAAAGAGGCCCCCAGGAAGCCCAAGGTGCCACCCAGAGGAGGATCCCAAGAAGCCCCCAGGGCCCAAGAGGCCCCTAAACTGCCCCCAAGAGGCCCCCGAGAGCGCTCCGAAGGGACCCCAAGAAGCATCCCTGAGGACTCTGACCCACAATCCAGGCACGGTGGCGGGATGGGTCGAAGGCCATCATATGGCTACGTAGGTATACGTGGAAGGGTTCTAGTCTTCTACGATGCGAATAGATACACACATGTGCACACACATGTGTATATATATATATATATATATATATATATATACATATACACATGAAAAAGGCACGAACGTGTGTGTGATCATGTTTGTTTGTGAATATGTTTGTATGGATGCATGTATGTAGTTGCGTACGTGCGTATGTATGCCTGTCTGCCTGTCTCTGTACGTATGTATGCACGCATGCAGAGCATACATTCATGCGTGTATGCATGTACGTGCGCAGCTATGTATAACTGGCTGCGTGATAGACTGATTGGGTATGGGTTTGTGTGTACGCATGTATGTATGTATGTATGTTTGTGTATGTGTGTATGTATGCATGCATGTGTGTGTGCGCGCATGCATGTATGTGTGGATGTGTGTATTCGTGTGGGTGCGAATGCATGTATGCATGCATGCATGTATGGATGTATTGTAAGTATGTAGTTGTGGATGCATGCATGTATGTATGGTTGTAAGTGTGTATGTATGGATGGATGCATGTATGGATGTATGTATGGATGTATGGGTGTGTAGCTGCATGTGTGTATGCATGTGTATCGACGTATGGATGTATGTAAACATAGACGCACGGGTGTATATACGTAAGTATGTGTGGTTGTATGGATGTATGAATGTATGGTTAGATGCAGCTATAGATGTATATCTGTATGCATATGCATTTGAACATGTGTGTGTACATGTATACACAGACGTATAATTAGGTGTACATGCATGTGTTTGTGTGTGCATATGTAAATGCATATGGATAGGTGTATGTCGATGTGTATGTACATCCGTATGTCTAGATGTGTGGATGTGCATGTGCATATGGAAGTGAGCCATGTATATGCAGTTGTGTTGAAATATACTACACAAGACCCGCAGCTATACTTATAAATGAATGTGTGCATGTATGTGTGTATGTATGTATGCATGTGTGAGTGTATGTGTGCATGTGTATGTGGGTATGTAGCTCTGTATGTATGTTTGAATGTATGTGTGAATGTATGTCTTCATGTGCACACGGGCCTAGATTCTCGACGTAGGCGATGATCGCGGAGGCGCGAGCGTCGAATACAAGGGTTTGAAGCATCTCTGGGCCCCGAAACCTGGCCGAAATCGACGCGTTCCCCCGAAACGCCGACAGCAGCATGTCAATGTGATGAAACCGACCGAGATGTCGGCCCGCGCTCATATTGACACTTCGGAAGTACAGGTTTCTTTTACAAAAAATAAACCGAGCGCGATGTCAATGAGGGCACTGCTTGGCATTGCTTTGCGTTGAATGGTATTGCTTTGCATTGCTTGGCGTTGCTTGGAATTGCTTGGCATTGCTTGGCATTGCTTGGCACTGCTTTGCATTGCTTGGCGTTGCTCGGCGTTACTTGGAATTGCTTGGCACTGCTTTGCGATGCTGGCGATTCCCAGAAACAAGACTGGGGAAACCAAGAAGCCCACGCAAGGCAGAAGACTGAAAAACCCGGGGAACCCGAGAAACAGGACTGGGGAACCCGAGGAACCCAAGCAAGGAACAAGACCGGGGAACCCGAGGAACCCAAGCAAGGAACAAGACCGGGGAATCCGAGGAACCCAAGCAAGGAACAAGACCGGGGAACCCGAGGAATCCAAGCAAGGAACAAGACGGGGGAACCCGAGGAACGTGACCAGGGGAACCCGAGGAAGGAAGGCAAGGAACACGGCCGGGGAACCCAAAGGCCCTTGCAAGGGAACCAAACCGGGGAGCCCCGAGGAGAAAGCACCTGCAAGGAAAGAGAACCGGGGAACCACCAAGGGAAGGCCGCGACGATCGCAGGCCGCACCCACTGGTTCATCCACAGCCTCACAAGACCCCTGGGCAAAGCCTAATCGATCGAGTAGGGGATCGACTACAGAGTTGACTTACCCCAGACTTGAACACTTCGCTCTACGCGGCGTGGACGCACCGTTGGTAGATTCCAAGAACAACTCAAATTTGGGGTAAAGCTATGATGTGGTCAATCTCCTACTCGAATCGAGGAAAGACACACGAGGACGAGGAGGCTCAGGAGGAGCGGCAGCAGCCTGCATGGCGGCCATCCTTGCTGCTGGACTTCGCGCGGGCGGGCGCGGCACGGTGCGCAAAAAGGCGATTGAGGCAGAACGGCTGAACACGCGGGGGGTAGAGGAGGACGAGGACGACTGAGAAGCAGCAACAATGCGAGGACGCACTGACCTGGGTCAATGCAAACCCGGGCCACTCGGGCTGCA